CCACAAGGGGAGTGCTGCTCAGCCAGAAGTCTTGAACTGGGATCCCAGCTGGCAAGTGCAGCGGCAGTGGTGGGAGCCTGTCCTGCCTCCATGGTAGCATCAAGGATGTCTGACCGCCAACTTAGACATCCCCCAAGGGCTCCCAGACTCTGAGAGGGCACAGGCCAGGCTGAGGGATGCGCCCCCCACCCCCATGAGTACATGAATTTCATGCACCGGGCCTCTACCAGTAGAATAAATATATCTTGCCATTCCCAGAAGGCACAGGAAAAAAACAAAGAGAGAGAAAATGCCAGGCTGAGGCAATATGACACTGAAACAGCCACCTGTTAACATTAAGCTTCTCGGGCTATGATAGCAAACTTCATAGGATTTGTTATCCAGTAATTTTTAATTTGCACAAATATTCCTTAAAACCAGGAAATTTCATGACCACGAATCCTGCATTGGCTATGTAGTGCTGGATAAATGCTGAATGAATGAATGAAGAGATAAAATAACACAATGTTACCGGTAGTTATGTTCGTAAAATACTATCCTAAGTCTGAGTCCCGAAGAGTCAGCTCTGCTTTCTACACGTTTAACTTCTCCCAGAGACAGCCCTGGGCCTCAGGAGAGGAGGGAATCTGCTTTGGCTGAATTTGCAAATGACAAGGTCAGCTTTCTTTAAAAATGTATTTCTAGTCCATTCCATTACGCATGTTGCTGTGGTCCTTGGCTGTCTTCCTGCATCCTATGACCAATCCTTCTTGTGGAGGGGCTTGTGCCAGGAGGCAGAGGGGCAGCATTCCACGTCTACCTTTCTGTTATTTCTGAGGCTTTCTGAGGATTCAGAAGGGGACTGTAGAATTCTTTCATCCGACCTCCAGGTTCTTCCTGGAATGTATTTATTTTTCTTCTGTGGTGCATTTAAACTCTGCCATCCCCAGCGTGTTTATTTGTAAAATGGATTTAATTCTGTGCTTGCAAAGCCTTTGGAAACGTCTGTCGGGGGCACACAGGGGCGGGCACACGGCTTCAGAAAGATGTTAGAGTTTTAAGAGAGATTTATTTGACCCTGAGGCCAAACGGCACAGCCTGCGAATGTGATAAATCTAGCCAATAAATAAACAAATAAATAAATAAACGTAAATGCCTCTGGGGCGGCGGCTGGCCAATGGGCAGCGCGGCGGCTGGCATTTGCTTTTACAAGAGCACTTGTTAATTCCGCGTGCTCTGGACAGTTAGAGAGGTTTCATTTCCTCCCCAGACCGTTGTCCCCCCCTTCCCCCTCGCCCCCCCCCTCCCCGAGTGTGCGGAGTGGAGCACTTTATTTGAGGCTGGAGTCGTGAATGTACTCCCTGCGAGGCGATGACTTCATGTATATTGATATTGCCAGTAGGGGTTTATTTTCTTTCTTGCGAGGCTGTGATCCTTTGAAGTCAGGAACCACCACGCACACAGCTCTTGGCGCCGAGCTGTGGCCGCAGAATGTGTTCAAGCATTTGCTGAGTGACTGGATGAAGAATGTCCTAGTCCCTGCTCTTTCTCCAGCACCAAGCATCATGCTAGCACTCAGTCAGTGTTTGTCGAATGAATGAATGAATGAATGAATGAATGAATGGTTTCAACAGGTATTTCTGTCTTTAGTATTCTCACGTATTAGAAATAAGGCAATGTTGGCGTCTTTTCGGTTGCTAGAATGGCACCTGGTCATTATTTGAAAAACTTAGTGTCAGAACTTATCTCAATGAGGTAAGGTGCTAGACTCTAGAGAAAAGAGGAGAAGTGGGGGGGGGGGGTGGGGAGTGGTGGAAAGAGAGAGAATAAGAAGCACAAATGACAAACATATGTATCTCTGTTTGTCCATCCATATCTATCTATCTATCTATCTATCTATCTATCTATCTATCATCTATCATCATCTATCTATTATCTATACATACATCAAACTAGCTGTACAAATTTTTTAATCAATGTGGAAAACTTTGTCTACTTGTATCAATTTATATAGTTTGTATTTTTCTCCTGAGTACTACCATTGGACATTTCTACTTGTGTGTCCACTGACCGCCTAAACACTATCAATTGTCCCTGAGGGCTGAACAGTCGACTAGTTCCATCTCCAGATCCACCTTAGGTAGAGCCTCTGTCTCGCTGATCCTCTCCCATTGTTTTCCCGGCTGTTTCCTCTGGGTTCTTCACTGACCTGTGGCAGACCACCTGTCTAAGACCCACTCTCACCACCAGTTGTCCTGCTCAAAATCTTCCAGTGCCTCCTCGTTATTTATAGGTTAAGATCCAAACGCCTTTAAATCTTGTTTTCAAGGAACATTACAACCTGCCCTTGGAACACTCTCTTTCTACACTATAAGCTCCCTCTTCCAGCCAGGCCTGTCCTAATTTTCTCTAGAGAAACTGCTATTCGTTTCTATTTCCCCTCCAGGACCCTCACTGTGCACCCTGCTCTGTACTCAGCTCTATATATATCATGTCTTTTGTTTACTGGACACAGGAATCCACCTCACCTCCTCCTAGCTGAGCTAAATCTTAATGGTCCTCATAGGCCCCTACACTGAGCTGCAACCAGCTGGCCTCCTTCTTCTTCCTGTGCTTTGTGTCCTGCGGGAGCAGCAGGAGGAGGAGCTGGCAGAGGCTAAGTAGAGGCTGGCAGAGGCTAAGGGCGCCCGAGAGGCTTTCTGTTTTGACTTGGCAATGCTGCCCGCTCAGTCCCCGGTTGCTCTGTTAAGTCAGCATGGTAAGGAGTCTTCCCAGAGGCAGACCCTTCCAGTTCGGAGGACACACATGTCGGGGCTCATCTGTTCTCCTGCCCAGAGGCACTGGGAGATCAAGTGCTCACTTGACTGTTTCCCTGGCCCTGAGCGGCTCCTATTTATTTGCTTCATCTTAGGATATGGACCTGCCAAAGCCACAGGTAACCTGATGCTCTAGGCCCGGGCTTTCTTCTTCCTCCAGGAGAGAAGGAAGGGCTGGAGGTGAGCAGACTGTTCAAAGCTGTTTGCAGCAAAAGGCGTGATCCCTGCCCCTGTACGTGGTGAGGGGGTGGTCACCCGGCATCTTAGGTTTCATTACCAACGGCCGCTATTTCAGCACCTCTTTTCTTTCAAACATCTTGGGTTTCAGACAGGAAGGTAACCAGACGCTTCGCATTTGCTATAGTATTGCTGTTTTAGTCCTTGTTCCTTGACCTTACGAGTCACCTGTTCCTTGTGAGATATTGTCACCCTGTGGGGCGAGACATCTATCCTCCAGACTTTGCTAATAATACTGGGAGTCACGTGCAGTACACATATTGTTATCATTCAGTGTGGATCTTGGGTAGCAGACGATGTCATTTTATTATAGTTATGGTATTGGCTTAACTTCTCTCCCTCAGAATAAATGAGAAGGTTCTGTAGAGTATGGCCCCCAAACCCTGAAAGGTTCCTTAATCTCTTCATGACTTTTCTGTCTGTGGTATAAGTATCTGTTCTGCAAGCACTTAAGATCAGAAGTATTTTAGAGGTATCCAGTCCTCCATCAATAAGCCTAAACTCCTTAGCACGACATACATCATTGTCCTAGTCAGGACTCCTAGCTTAAACTAGCTCAAGAAGATCATGACTCATGTGACCGAGAAGTCCAGGGATGGATCTGGAGCTTCAGACATAGGTGGACCCCTGGGCTCTATCAATGCCCTCTGGCCTCTGCCTTTCTCTTGCCTTCTCCTGGCTCCAGGTCCCTCGTTCTCATTGTTTCATTCTGCAGACAAGCTCTTTCCAGATAACGGGGAAGATGGCTGCCTGTGTCCAAAATCAGTATCCTTCCAACCTCAGAGGAAAGAGGCATTCCTTCTGATATCTTGCCATGAATCCAGGGAAGCCCTGATGGACCCTGTGTGGATCTTATGTCCGCCCTGGGCTAGTCTTTAATTCTAGCTCTGGTTAGCTGCTCGTGAGCCGTGTGTGCCCGCACCCCTGGCCGTGGGTGCTTGGACCCAGTGGTGACAGCCCCAATGGGACCACAAACGGCGAAGGAGGAGCATTGTCTAAAGGCAGTATGGCGGTGGATAGACGAAAATCACAAGTCCTCTAGACAGGCTTCTGTGGCTTGGCCCTTCCTACCTGAACAGCACCTCCTAAGACTTCTCTCTAGCGTCTAACCTACTAACCACATTGGACTATTTCATTTGATAAAAACCTGCCTTCACCTTGACACCTAGTGTTCCCTGAAAATTTTTAATTTCCTTTTTTCACTTGCCAACATTCTTTTCAGTCTTCAAAGCTTAATTAAAATGCTACTTTCTTCAAAACCTTCCTTATACTTTCAGTTCTTCCACCATACTGGCAAAGGATTTAGCTAACAGCACATTCAGAGAATTTGCTTTGTCCTGCCTCTGTTTGGAGTATCTTTCCCAGATACTAAGACAGAGCACTAAGTTAAGGATACAATTTTACCTATGTGTTCCCAAAAATTCTAGTTTAGCACTTCTTAGTTGGGATTCAGGAATCTGTATTTTAACAACTCCACCAGGTGATTCTCATCATGAGAGAAGTTTGGGAAACACTGGTCTAGATGACCCTCAGTTTGTAAAAGGACTACCCTCACCCTGTCTCTGGCTGAAGAATCTGTGGTGATGGAAGGAGACTAAGCCATTTTCCGGATTCATTCTGGGCCCATCCTATATAATAAAAGGCTAATATGCAAGTCTACTGAACAGTGGAACGACTGGTCGCTATGATGCTCACTGACCACCAGAGGGCAGATGCTCAATGCAGGAGCTGCCCCCTAGTGGTCAGTGCGTTCCCACAGGGGCAGCTGGCAAGCAGAGCAGAGGTGCTAGGTGCTGGAAAACAAATCAGTTTCACTAAAAAGAGATATTGACAGGAAGCCAGGAAGGCTGGTCAACAACCTTAATTGCTCTAGCCACTCACCCTTTAGTTGAGACATGGTTAGCTGAAGCAGCCTCCACCTTGTTTGTCCCATGTAAGTGTCTGTTATTTCCTGCCTAAGGGCTACATGTAAATTTCTATTTATGTTGCCTAAGATGTTTTCCCAAAGCCTCAATAAAAGGGATGGCAGGGCCAGAGCAGGAGTAGTTCTCCCACTAGAGTTGGACTACCACCTGGCCCCCTGTATCGCCAACTTGAATTTCTTCAAGTATCAAGTCTCTTCATTTGTGTGTGGCCCTTCTCCAGAACCCGAACCCTGAATTGGAACTCTTTCCATGTGGATCGTGAAAGAGATTCCTATAGCTAGGAGCCTCTACCATCTCTAGGGCAGCACTGAGGATGTCCAACTCCCAGCTTAGGCCCACTGTTGGACATCCCCTGAGGGCTCTCAGACTATGAGAGGGCTCCGGCTGGGCTGAGGAACCCTGCTGAGTGCACGAATTTTGTGCACTGGGCCTCTAGTTTATAATAACCTAATTATAGGCACTATGGGAAAAGAACTGAGAATGCAGTCCACGGTGAGAAAGACAACTCCTGGAATTTTCTCTGATTTTTATTACCCGTCCTACGATACCCATCATCCCATGTATTCAAATGCTTTTCCTGTTTACACAGAACAGCTATGGTGCTTCACGCAGACCAATGCGGATCGCATCGTGGAGAGAGGCACATATGTGATTCATTTTCCGAAGCCTGAATTTACCTAAGGACCCAGGAATGTCATGAGGTAAGTTTTGGAAGGGTCTCAGGTGGTGCGGCGATTATCAATTGGCAGGCGCACCTCCTTTCCCATTAATTGGCTATGGGTTCGCATTTCCAAACTGTGACCCACCGTGTTAATCATCCGAAGGAATCTCCGAGGAGGCAGAGAAAAGGCCGCCCTTCACAAGTCAGCAATGGCTGTGTGTGTGTCTACGCCCTCGTACAGTCCTGGACGCAGGAAACCAGGCCCCCGCGAGCCACGTGTGCCTGAGCCACGGGGGTCAGGGGAGGTCTGGGTGCGGCACTTTAAGAGTTATCTATGCAGCAATGCTGTCCGTCCAGAGCTTCCCGAGCATTTAGTTTTTCTCTCCCCTTATTTACATATTTATCTTCCTAGCTCTACTCAGACTCTTTCAGCCGCAAGTAACAGAAAATGCAACTCAAACTACATTCAGGAAAAAGGGGGACTTTATTGGCCTGGTAACCAAGGAGTTCAGCTTTATCCAGAGGTTCTAACAGCACTCCTGGGACCCAGTGTCTCTCCATTTCTGAGTCCTGCCACCCCTGTGCCGGCTCTGTGACTCCTGCATGCTTGCCCCGTGAGGACACACAGCTGCCTGCGGTCCTGGAAGTAGACGGCCAGGTGCCAAATCCAGAGGAAAAAGAAGGACATTGGTTCATATTGGCTCTGAATGACTTTAAAAAAAAATTATTTCAGAGAGGAAGGGAAAGAGAGAGAAACACCAATGATGAGAGAGAATCATTGATCATCTGCCTCCTGCACGTCCCCCATGGGGGATGGAGCCCACAACCTGGGCATGTACCCTGACCTGGAATCAAACCATGACCTGGCTCAACCACTGAGCCACACTGGCTGGGCTCTGAATAACAGCTGAGCAAATCACATGGCTCTGGCTGGCTGGGCCTGGGGCATGTGCCCCTGGAGCCATGTGTGGAGACAGCCATACCTGAACTGCAGGGACTGAGACTAGGGGGAGAGTTGGTGCTCCAACAGCAAGTGGGACACCATTGTTAGAAAGAGGAGGAATGGACACCGGGCATGCAGAACAAAGCAACAGACAAGAAGCCCAGCCTCTGCACTTCCCGACTAGACCTTGAGCTCTCCAGTGGAGAGGCAGGGCCTCTGGACTTCACATGTCTTACTTCCCAGGGCCATGACTGGCTCACTAGTGACGTACACATGCTGATGGGAGTGATTTGCTAGTTACAGGAAGGCCTGGGCCTAACTCCGAGTGCAGGGTCTCACTCCCATGTGACCTCCCATTGCTGACACGATGGCCTCTGGAAAGGTTTAAAGTCTGCCATGTTCTCAGCATTTTGTCCCTTTCATCCAAGCAAAGTATTCCAACTGTTCAAAGTAAAAAATGTCAATAGTTGAGAGTTCAGCCAGTGAGTTTTGGCAAATCGATTGGCAATTTGGTAGCTCTCGGTAACCTGGACACATCTCACGAGCTTCCTCAGCTTCTCTCAGCTTTGCCCCTGGCTCTCACTGCTCGCTCTGGGCAGTCCCAGCACCTGTCCACAGCCTGACGCCAACCAGTTGTCTTCCCACATCTCCAGGTCTTCCCACCGTGTCCCAGGTCTGGTAGAATGCCACTCCACAGGGCATGGGCTGTGCCACAGGGGCCTGGTGGTGCAAGCTGGATGTGTGGGGGTGACCGATGGTAGAAACAGTGAATAAATTTCCTCTCCGTGCTCCCTCTGTGGACTCTGAAGCGATGGCCAACATACTAACGCATCACTTTGCGTTGCTTGTTATCCTTCCCCACCTCCTCCTCTTCTCGTTCGTTTTCATCAGCCTGGCCTTCCTCTCCCAACGCAAACACCTGGACTTCATTCCCGCTGCGGGCTCTGTTTTCTAGGAGACCTGGCCTAACGCGTTGTTTTGTTTTCAGCGGACGTTTTCCTTAAAGCTGCTGAAAAGGCTTTTAAGTTCAATAATCACTATTGACTCTAATGAAGTGAGATTTCTATCATCCCATTTATGAGATGGATAAACTGGGACACACCGTGGATGCAACCTGTTCAACGTGACAGGCTTACTCACTGACCCAGTTAAGCACAGAACCCGGACTCCTGTCTTCCCAAGGGATGCTCTGCACCAACCCGCATGGTAAGTCTAGATCTGCACACACAAAGAGCAGAGAGTAATTCGGACGATTATCCCAATCATTCAAGCCAGGCACCCAAACCTAAAATAGCTGCATAATTGAGCTCAGTGTCTCCACTTCACATGGGGCCTCTGCGAACAGCCAGAGCCATGTTACCCGAATCTGGTTATTATGTAATTATAAGTGCTACCGGTGGTGGGTTTGAGTTTTCAAACGGTGGATTCTATTTCTTGAAATATTTTGCATTATGGGCTGAATTCCTTTGCTTTTTAACTAATGGAGATGAAAATAAAGCTCCAGTAAAGATAACAGGCTTCTGACAGGAGGGGAAATGTCATAATTGTAAATAAAACATTTCGGATTTGCCCAGAGGCATACGACCAACCTGAAGGTGTGGTTAGTCAGTAAGTGGAGAGTCTGTGTCTGGTTTCATACTGATTTCAAAACGAGTCCTTGTCATTGCTTTATGTTTGTTTTAAAGCAAGTTTTATAAAAAAGAATTGAAATTATACTCAGATGCTTACAGAAACCAGAAATAAAGAGGAATCTATTATAAAGAAAATTCTGGTGATGGGATAAGTTCCGATCCAGACCTAAAAGGAAAACATGATCGTTTCTGGTCTTCTATCTGTGTGGTGGCTGATATCTGGGGTCAGGGCGGGAGGGTGGGGGGTTGGGGGAGGTGGTAGGCAGGAGGGAGAGAGGGGTAAGGGAACTTGAATTGCTCTGTTTTCTATAGATATTTATTAAATTAATAATTGTGTTATATTGAGGATCCTGCTCTTTTAGACATTTTTATTTTATTTTTAAATATATTTTTATTGATTTCAGAGAGGAAGGGAGAGAGAGAGAGAAACATAAATGCTGAGAATCATTGATCCGCTGCCTCCTGCACACCCCCTACTGGGGATCAAGCTCACAACCTGGGCATGTGCCCTTGATCAGAATTGAACCCGGGACCCTTCAGTCCACAGGCTGACACACTAGCCACTCAGCCAAACTGGCTGGGGCACTTTTAGACATTTTTTTAAGCATCACTGCTAAACTGATGTTCCACATACAGGCGCTTCCTATCACTATTGTCAGGTGTCCCTGTGTGCATTTATCTGGAAACGGTGCTGAATCAACCTAGCATGAAAGCCCCTTCCGCACACTAGCTGCCCGAGTCGCAAATGCCAAACCCATCGACGAGCACCATGGAGTTTTCTGACACCGATTTAAAAGTCTAGAAATCAGCCCATTATATAAACATTTCAAGTATTGAAAGTAGAAAAAACTGTTTTACATGAAACATGCATGTAAAAAGTACTGAGGAGATGTTGTACTTTGCTTGGTCTTTATAAACACTTCAGGTGGAGACGTTGGTTGGGGGTTCTGGATGGGGTCCGGCTTGGGTTTTTATTTTTCCTGTGGCTTAGGTCACAGAACAGGGAAGATTTTTGTTTTGTTTTTTTAACCAGGGACTCAAAGAAAGGCCACACATATCCCGTCATGGCAAGAGTGGTGTGGAATACTGCCCACGTGGTGCAGTTGGGGGTGAGAGAGGGACTGAGGCTTAACCATGTTGTCTTTGGTGTGAGAGACTGTTAGAAAGAGCAGGAGTCACATCTGTTAGCATCATGAGTTGGTTTATGGCTTCAACCATCCTCACTTGTCAACCTTATGGTTGAGTTCCACGTTTATATATTCACCTATGAAACGAGTAGAAACTTGGTCAGGTGTTGACCAATTTTTATGGCAAATTGGGCATTTAAAATATTCTGGTCAAGTATATGGAACAAATAAAAAGCAAGGTGAGCCAGATTCTTCTCATTTGACTCTTTCATCTTCAGAGTCTTAGAAGAAGCTTAGATATTTTTAAAAAGCTCCCCGGCCTGGCCGGCTATGGCTCAGTGGTTGAACATTGACCTACGGCCAGGAGGTCACAATTCGATTCCAGGTCAGGTCACATGCCTGGATTGCAGGCTCGATTCCCAGTGTGGGGCGTGCAGGAGGAGGTCGGTCAGTGAAGTTTCTGTCTCTCTCTCTCCCTCACCCTTCCTCTCTGAAATAAAAAAATATGTATTTTATTTTTAAAAAGCTCTCCATTCCCAAGAAAGATAAAGAGGTCCCAGAAAGGAATAAGAATTGGCTGTTTAGCATTGTGGACTTGTCAACACCACCAGTTGGAGAAACAAATGGTGAGGGTCAAGAAAACTGAGCTTGGACCTGGAACAACATTTTAAAACAAAGATCTCCTGCCAAAGATTCCTCAGGTTCCACTCCCTTTAACGTTAGAATAAAAATACCACAAAACTCAATGAAATGCGTTCATTTTTAACATATAATAGCATGCTGGGCTTTTGGTTCCAATGAAAGGCATACTTTCCTAGGGCAGCAGAAGGCACGGGGCTTTGGGAAAACTTGCTTTTTCACAAAAGGTGAAACAGCATCTTCATACAGGCAGCTTCAGTTTCTAAAAGCATAAGATTGCCCTGGCAAGTGTTGCTCAGTGGTTAGAATATTTGTCCATACTCCAAAGGATCGTGGGTTCAATTCCTGGTCAAGAGCATGTACCTGGCCTGTAGGCTCGATCCCAGGCCACAGTTGGTATGGTGCCGATTCTACATTGCTGGGGCCAGCATGGGAAGCATCCAATCTATCTTTTTCTCTCTCTCCCACCTCCCCCTCTCTTTTTCCCCTTCCAGTCTCTCTAAAAAAAGCAATGGGGAAAATATCCTCAGGTGAGGAGTAACAACAACAACAAAAGGCAATAAAAATTAGTAAAAAAAAAAAAAAGCTTATGGGACAGAATTTGGTGGATAATTACTTCCTTCAGGCAATGAAGCACTATGCTACCCAACTTCATTTTGGAACAAGATCGAACTTTCCCTCATTGGTTAGCTTAGGCATTAACCAAACAAAGATTTTACAGTGGAAGGGTGCAACAGTCTTTGATCCAAGGCATGGGAGAAGGTGATGGGGTGGTGAAAAGAGTAGCTAGTTGTTTCAGGGAGAGGCTCAGGGAGAAGCAGAGACGAGGGGATGCAGAGGGGCCCCCCTAAGGCCTCTGGGCTCACAGGCTCCTAGTTTTGCATGGGGTGAGCCTTTGGAGGAGATCCTCTCCCTGCCCAGCCTGGGGGAGGCAGCCTGCAGAGGGGAGTCAGCTGTTGCCCATCTTCATGAGTGTCACCTGCTCGCCCCGGAAGTGGTTCCCCTGGAAGTTAGGGAGCTGAGCTGTGTGAGGTAGAACCCGGGGCCTGCAGCTCCCAGAGGGCCTGGTTCAGGGCGGCCTCCATGGCGTCCTGAGTTTTTCCCACTCGTCCCGGGGCGGCTTCAGCACGTCCTGGAAGAGAATGCGGCCACTGCGCTTGTTTTGCAACTTTAAAGAGACGCTCAGCGCCCCTGTGCTTCTCCACCAACTCTTGGGAGACGTGGCCCATGCCCTTGAGAGCCACATCCTCCCCGTCAAAGTAGGAGCCCGGAGAGAGGTAGGTGTGGGAGGCCCGCAGCTGCAGGTTGGCCGGGCGGGTGACTGCAGCCTCCACCTGGGTGGAATAATTCTGACGAATTTGGTAGCTGAGCTCATGGTTGTTTGGCAATAAGGAGTTCAGGTAGAAAAAAACCAAATGGTGTGTTGTCTGGTCCCAGAGGTGGTTCTGGAGGTGGTGACTGGATAAGATGCAGGAGCAGTTATTGTCCACTGCTATTAAGAGGGCACTTGAGCCCTGACCTGTTTGGCTCAGTGGATAGAGCGTCGGCCTGCGGACTGAAGGGTCCCAGGTTCGATTCTGGTCAAGGGCATGGACCTTGGTTTCAGGCACATCCCCGGTAGGAGGTATACAGGAAGCAGCTGACCAATGTTCCTCTCCCATCAATGTTTCTAACTCTCTATCCCTCTCTCTTCCTCTCTGTAAAAAAACAAACAAACAACCCAATAAAATATATTAAAAAAAAAAAAAAAAAAAGAAGAAGAAGAAGAAAGAAAGAAAGAAAAAGGAGGGCACTTGATGCCCCTAGCCAGTTTGGCTCAGTGGATAGAATGTCGGCCTGCAGACTGAAGGGTCCCAGGTTCGATTCGGTCAAGGGCATATGCCTGGGTTGTGGTTTTGATCCCCTAGTTGGGGGCGTGCAGGAGGCAGCCAATCAGTGATTCCCTCTCATCATTGATGTTTCAATCCCTCCCTCTCGCTTCCTCTCTGAAATCAATAAAAATATATTTTTTAAAAAAGAGGGCACGTGATGCTCAATACTCAGGGCTCTCAGTCAGGGTTAACTTTACCCAGAGATGGACATTTTCTTAGCTAAGTTCCTTTTTAAAAAGTCAGTTTCTCCTACATAATGATTATTCTAGTAAAGTCATGATGTCATCACCCATAGGGTCTAGGAAAGCAAAGCAAAGATTAATGTGCCTGTATCTTTAATGCCTCGTCTAAGATCATTGCTGAGGATCAAGGTCTTAACTTGGAAAAATGTAGCCTCCGTACTGTGTTGGGATCTGACAGCTGTCTTTGTACTTTTAATAGATCAGTTCCATTCATCTTTTCAAATGAGCTTTTCCAAAATGCTTCCGTGAAGTGCCAAAAATATATTTCTCATATTGCAATTTTGTTATTTAAGGCAGATGGATTGTTCTCCCCCCCGCTTCCCCCTTATCAATTATTTTTGGTTATCCTGACACTTTCTGTATCCCAATTCCTTCCAACGTATGTCTGTTTTACCAGGACAGCTGCATGCGTGGCTAGGAAATGGTGCATAATTTTAATAATATTGAATTTCATATACCTTTGAATATGGGCATATGTGATGTTTTAGAACGTTGTAATATTTCAAGGAACACGCTGGCGCCCTCCTCACAGGATCTGTCTCCCTGGGGATTACAGATGGCCGCTCACGCCCCTCGTCCCTGCCCCGTTCTGGAGAGAGACGGGGGATGTGCCCATTGGCACAGGGCACATGCTGTACCGTTACATGTCTGGCTCAGAATGTTCCTGGGTTGGGAGGTGGGGAAGTTGTTACACATTTTATGCCACGTGCCTCTGACTGAGCCTCACGGCTCGCATGCGAGTGAAAACGAAAGATGGAAGAGTGGTGTTTATGGTGGATTTTATTGCTCTTTTCAGTCCGTCCGTAAGAGGAGTGGGCTAATCCACAGTGGGGAATCCACTTATGTAAGCGAGGGTGAATTGTCTAAACTTATAGGTAAAGACTAAATAGTAGCCACTATGGACTCCCTAGAAATTACACTGCACCGGGTTTTGGTTTATTAGTGAGGCTACCCACAAGCAGTGGAGAGGAAATACTGTGAGAATAAACCACTGAGAGCAGGTCCTGCAGGACTCCGGGTGGTGCCTGGGACCCAGGAGGGCGATCCGTGTCCCAGATCAGCGTCCAGGAGCGCCAAGCGCCTGCTCATTTGGGGCCACTCCAGGTGGCGCTTGCGAGATAACCCATCCCTAGCTCATGCTCCCGACATCATGTGAGCCAGTGGCTGAAGCCCCTCTGGGGGGTGCCTCTAGGACGTGGAGCTCTTTGTGACTGTGTCCCTGCCTCCCACGTCCCTTTCCTCTGGGCAGGAGTCACCACCGCAAAAGGCACCAAAGCCATTTGGAAATGCTCACTCACTAGTGCCTCCCACGACTGCTGCATTCATTCCTGACGGTGCAGGTGGCACAGGCCTGGCTCCTGACCGTGTCCTCCTGAGGCTGAGGGCAGGGAGATGACAGCCAAGTTCACCTCTCTCTAATCCCCCTGCCTGTTTGCTCCTCTGCACACACCCCCCTGCCACACACCTGGCTGATTCCGCACTTCGTTCCCCAGGCGTCTCCGTCCTGCAGGAGGTCCGTGACCTGGACCCAGTGACTGGGTGCCGAGACGGGTGCATGGCCATGTGGCAGCCACCCCAGGTGGAGCTGATGCTCAGGAAGGGGTGGGGCCCGGGGGCTTGCAGGAGGAAGGAAGAAAGCAGTGACAGGAAGGAGGCAGGCATCACGGCCTGGTCGCACGCAGACGGCTCTGTGTGCATGTTCTTGTGGGATTTGGCTAAATATGTTGTCGGTTCCTGGGGAACGTGCGAAGCGCTTGAATCCGCCCCTTCCCCTCATCGCTCCTGAAGTGGAGAATTGCAACAGGATGGCCCACCCTGGGACTTGGCAACCGCACTCTCCAGCGCTCAGTTTGGTACAAAGCGCTATCATTACCGTTTGGAGGGAGCACCTGTAATGTGAAAAGACGACCTGGGGAAGGCCAGCAATCACAGCAGCAGCCCTCGGGGCAGGGAGGGCAGCCCGGGCCCCCGCATGTTGCCCCCCCCCCCCCCACCGGGGTTGGAGCCCAGAGAGGAGAGGGTGGAAGGTGTGGGGGAATTTCCCCAGCAGGTGAGCGCCCCCTCCTCCGTAGTCTCAGGTCTTCCTCGTGATGGGCTGAGGCCCAGGAGTCTTTGGGGCAGACCCAGCTTCGCTGGTGTGAGTCTGGCCCCCAGGAGAGCCGAGAGGGCGGCGGGCAAACAGAGAAGTGGGAAGTGGTTGCTCGGTGCTGAGTTTGGCTTCGAGCTGAGAGCTCTGTTTGAGCCTTCAGGCTCCAAGCAAAACTCAGGGGGGTGGAACGGAACCCACAGGAACCCAAACAAGGCCGGGGCTTGGCAGGCAGCTGCGCGTGGGGCCACGCTGCGTCTCACACAGCTCTGCCTGTGCAGGCCTCTTGGCCCGGCGAGCCCGCTCTCACCACACTTCTCCCTGCCCTGCACCCCTGTGAACCGGAGTCCCTGAATGTGTTCAGTCAGGACCTCCATTTCCCCAGAAACAGAGCCCCCTTCTGACGCCCAGGCCCGTGTCCTTGGCTGGCGAGTTATTTACCCGGTGGCCCAGCCAGTCAGGGACATCTCGGGCTTGTTCTTGTGAAGAGACCCACTCAGGGAAGACAGGGACAGCGGTCACAGGAAAATAAGAACAGAGATCTGGAGCCGAGACTCTCAGACGCTGTGGGGTGAGCCCCTGCACCCCCTTTCTCTGCAACAGCCTTGGAAAAGCAGGGGTGATGGCGTCATAGCAGCTGCCGATGGCCTGACAGACAGTTTCCGCAGCGCTACATGAGGCCCCTCGGTGTCCCTGTCAGGAGATTGGCAGCTGAATGACACCAATGAGGCCCGGCCCGTATCCCCTCTGGGAACGCCGCCCTCATTGATAGACAGAAGGCAAAGAGAAGGATTGTTTTTGAACCTGAAAAGAGTCCCCTTTTTTTCTCCCTAAAGCTCATGCCCCCACTCTCCACAGCTCTATTCCCTCCCCCCACCCCCCCAACACTTCTTTTTTTTTTAAAGGTGTTTTGTTCCAGAGCAGTTACAGGGCTTAATGGGACTGAATGACTTTTACCCTTCACAATCTGTCAGTCAAAAGCCCGACTCCAGGGCTGTTAAATAAAGTCCTTTCAGGAGCAGACAGGAGAGGAATGTGTCAGTCAGGCAACAGACCCTGTTGTGTTTTCATCTGTCAGAGGGGCGGTGGGGGGCGAGGGGCCGGGCGGGCACATTCCCAGCAGCCGCTAAGAGGCCTTCAGGAACCCAGGTGTGGAGCCAAGATGTCACCCCATCAGCGGCATTCTTGAGGCGCGGCCCAGCGCCCCCAGGCACTCGGCTTTGCCATCAGCTCTGAGATGTTTGGGCAGACTTTCAGCGCAGGCCTCACGCTAAGCGTTTTTAACATAAAGCCAACCGCTAAGTGCCGGGGACCGGGACAAGGCATGGCTTTCAGATTAATACACGCACCGCAGACAGTAATCCTCCGGCGGCAGGGCCTCCAGGTAGACTCCGATCCCAGAACAATTTTGTGGAGCTGCGCTCGGGTTGTTTTCTCCCCTATTCCTTTCCCTTCACATTATATGACAATCCATTAATCTTGCCCATTAGCTTAAAATTGCCTGGCAATTTCTTTTCTTTTCTTTTCTTTTCTTTTTTCTTTTTTTTTTTTGGAGGGTTCTGAACAGTTGCTTTTGTTCGCTGTGGATTTGGAGTTTTCCATGAAACACTGTCCCCCGTGAGAGACACGCGTGGTCTGGTCTGTTCCTCACGCCCCGGGGACAGTTCCCGGAGGGGCGCTCACGCACCAGAACGTGAACGGGGGAGGGCGAGGCGGAGTGGAAATGGGGGGGGGGGGGGGAGGACCCTGATATGGAAACAAATAGGGCTTGTTCTCTCCGAGTGCCGAGTGCAGGGAGGAAAGCCACCCTCCGGCCCGGCCTGGGGCCTGCTGGTGGCCACGGCGCCGGGAGGAGCGGGTCCTTGGCTGCAGGGGGCGGGTAGGAGCGGCCCTGGGTGCAGGGTAAACTTGGGCCAGTTGGTGACTGCCTGCTCGCTCTTTTTTCCTTGGGCGATTTTGCATAAAACAAAAGGAATTTCTCCCCCACCCCAGTTTCATTTCTTTGCCATGCTGCCATTCACCTCCCAACATCTGGTTCCCAAGACAGGCAGAGTTAGCAAAAATCCTTCCTCCCCTGTTTTTCCTCCCCTCTCCCCCTTTCCCAATCAGAATATTGGGGTGTCTGTCTCCCGGCTCTTCCTGGGACCACCGGTGATACGTAGTGTCATGCACCCCGATGGGTACCGTGGGCGAACAAAAGCGATGTTTCTCTCTCCCCTCCCTCTTCAGCCAGAATGCAGACGCTGGGTCTTGTTCTCTCCGTGTGCGCGGTCTCTGGGGAAAAGCCGGTTTTAGAAACGCTAAACGGAACCGTGAAAGGCCGCTGGCACGGGCTGGCCAACCCTGTCAAGCTGAAACTCTAAACATGGCTAAAGTAAATACAGCGCGCTCCGCCGCCCGAGGCCAAACACTCCCCGAAGAAATGGAGGCCAGCGTTTGGCCACCAGCTACGAGATGAAAGCGTCCAAACGGAGCAAACACGAGCTGCTTCCCAGCAGCCGAGCAGCCCAGTGTGCGTCTCCGCTTTCCCTCCACTGATACCAGCATCCGGGAGCCATCGCACGGCCCTCCCGCCCCAGCTGGTCCCGGGGCTGCGGGGGCCCCTGTGGCCCCGGGAAACTTCATGGGAACGATGTGCCTCCAGAACATTAATGAAGCCTTCCCACCCGGGCCCAGAAATATGGGCTCGGGGGCTTCCTGAGTGCATCCTTCACTGGTCATTAACGGTCCGCCCCCTTCGAGCAGAAGCCATGCCTCCGCCGCCCGCCCTGCCCTCGGCCTAAAACAAACACACTCCGGGCTGCTGAGACACAGGGCCTTCTCCCTGGTCTGCAACTGGGAATGCGCCCGTGGCTCTGTTTTTAACATTAATGGCTCCACGAAGAAGTGCAGGCAGAGGCCTGTTTGCTGCCGACAGAAAAGTCCTTAAAGCGGCAACGTCTATTCTAGTCGGGGGGAGGAAACAACAACTCTGGATGAAGAACCTTAGTCCTCCAAATTCTCCGTAGGTGGCACTCAGTTAGTTGCTCTGGTTTGCAAGCAAATAAACACACAAACTGGAAAACAAAAATAAACCCCAGTCCTGCTGGAGGCTCTGGCAGTCCCTGAATTCAGTCACTGCAGGCACAATTAGGAACAGACGGTTTTTCATTCTCCCTGTGCCCTCTCCTCTGCCGGGGGTGGGGATAGGGGGCGCAGAGGGGCAGGGGGAGGGGTAGTGGGTTTGCTGCACCCGCGTGTGGCCAGCTCCTCCTGCCCACTCAGTCCCAAGTGCAGTCTGTCCGTCTGTCCTGTGGTTTGGTGGCGGTGGACGTAACATTCGCATATTGGCCATAATGCATTGAAGCTGAATTCACTCCATTTGGGGGGGGGGGGGGGCACTGATTTGGGTTCAAAATTCCTTTCAAAAAGTGGTACTGTTTAAATATACGGCAACTTCAGTGCCAATTCGGCACTAATGCACTCTTGGAGTGGCATCTGAAGAGCTCAGACCAGATTAGCAAAAAGCCAGCCCCTCCGCAGGCAGAGCCGGGGGAAGTAGATGCAAGTTTGTGAAGCAGGAGATCAGCCACTTGGGGAGGGAAACAGGCTGAGTCTTGGCCACCTCCTGGTCCAGGGCCTTTGTCATTAGTTCTCATGTGGTTTTAGTCAAATCAGATCACCTTTACCATTAATTAGTTAAAATCATAATCCTAGAAATATAAGTATTAATTAGATGTAATATATTGATTAGGCATTAAATAATAACAATAACAATGATAATAATGTGTGCTAAGTGCATTCCACACACATTCTATATACGCCATCTTATTTAGAAGACAAAACCCCTGTTTGGAGCAGTGCTTACCGCTGCTAAGAGTTTGGCCTTTTGGGCTGAACTGCCTGCTTTCAAAGGCTGGGCCTGCCCCTTCCCGTGCGTGAGCATCATCTGTAAAATAGGGGCGACCACAGTGTGCACATCACTGTGTAATGAAATGAGTTCACAGGTGGAAAGCCCTTAGCACTGTGCCTGGTACATGGTAAATGCTATAGGAGTATTATTATTTTGTTCCACTGCGTGCGGCCTACTTCATAATTCAAGGGGTGGTTTCGACCAGTGCGGGACCGCGTTCTGTGTCTGTGTCAGTAGCAATAAGCACCGGGCCTTGCCTCCACCACCATTCACCCCCCAGGCGTTGTCCTGTGGGTGCATACAATGGCCAAGGCAGGCAGGAGAGGAGTCTGGTGAGCCAGTGGGTTTCGCTCTGGGAGCGGCTAACGCTGGCTTCATCCCCATCAAGCTCAGTGCTCTGGGGGAGGCGGCCGGTGCCGGAGGAGCCACAGGGTGGCACTGATTCTCGGGGCTCCTATGCCTTTTCGCTATGGAGCCTCTGAAGTGCGGGGGGGTCCCCAGACCCAGGACCGACCATATTCTTTCAAGATGTGTGACCCTTGTTTCATTAACGCGGCCTTGGCTCTCCCCCAGGCCGCTCTCACTCTGCAGCGGGAAGGCCAGGGCAGGGTATTGCGGTGGCTCCTTCGTGAGGAAAAGGGTCCTGAAACCAGAGAAGACCTCTGACCGGGCACACCGCGGAGCAGGCTGGCTGAGCGAGAGTGTCCTGGAAAACCAAGACCTCTCCCGGGCCCGCCCCGGGGTGATGTCAGGCCACCGCGTACAGTGAACCCTCTGCTCAACCACAGTGACTTCTGCCAGGGTGCCGTGCCCACGGCCTCCTGATTGCTACCACGTTTGCCACTTACCTTGCAGGATGACAGCTCGGTGCACCAGTCCCGGCATGCTCGGCTACTTAATTAAAAGGCGGAGCAGCCCTTCATGTAATCCAGTTTCATTCAACAAATATTCATCAAACACATCTATGCCTTTAATCATCCGTTTTATTCCTCACACATAAACCAAGGGTACAAATTACCTTGAAACAAGAAAATGTGCAGAATCAAACTATTTTGGTGTCCTTTCCTGATGCTCTTGGCCCTCCCCAAATTAATTCAGAAATGCCTGTGATTTTGGGCCTCATTTTAGAAATGCAGCTCTTCCCACTGGCAGGGCTGCCCATAGGTGGTGGGTTTGCACTGATGCCTTGTCCCTTTGTTTATTTTTCGGTGAAATAAGGGGCATCTGATTTTGAACTTGGACTAGGGCTGAGGTGGCCCCAGTGTAGTCTAAGGTGTGATACAGTTCAGAACTCCCTGGCTCTCAGGAAGACCACATCCTTTAGGCACAGCAAAGGCGTACCAACTCCAGTAACTCCTACTCCTAACAGGAAGCAAGCCATGAAGACATCTTGTTGTTGGGGGCGAGGGAGAGTGGTCCAAGTTAGAAGTGGCAGTGATTTGGCCTATCAGTCTCATGGATACCAGTTTTGTAAAGAGGACATAGTCCATAAATCAGCAAATAAAGTATTTGGGGACTCTCAGGCAGGAGGGTGGCACCATTTTTGGAGTCTGCCCCCCTGTTTTTCCACTGGGAAATCGCTGCTTCTCTGTCCTGGGTGGATCTGATGTG